AGATCCACTCAGATTGGCTCTTGAGGCCTCATTTATATGGGGCATACTACAGCATCCTGCTGATCCGGCTGAATGTCAACCAGTGTATGGACCGCTTTATTACGCTAACGCTCTGATTAGAGTGTGTGCTTTTGGTTATTCGAAAGGTACACAGCAATTAAAACATTACAGAGGATCTAACCCATCCTCAATCTCTCCAAAGCTAGGAAACAAAATTGTTTGTAGTTTGGGTTTTTACCTTGTTGGAGGAAGATTGAATACCCTGCGGCCTGTACAGTGGTAACATACCTCTTGAAGTTCTGCCTCTTTTGTTGTAAAACTCATTGGACGCACATGAAACCAGTTGTATACGCATGTCTCTGCAAGTGAAATCTTCACGTCAGTTTCCATCAGTTTTTCTGCACGTATGGTGTGAATGAGGCCTAAGTGGGGGGTGATATAAACTTTATGACACCATAAAGTGGTGAATTTTATAGTCACAGCATATTTGAAAGCATATCATTCATCACATTTATAGAACACTCTTACTACATAATGCATTCACCAATATCTCTTCTTCAGTGAAAACTGTGCTATTCTCTTTATTTGGAACTAGACATTCACTTTATATTAGCTAAAAATCTGTAAAAAAAATATTAGACCTGTTACTGTGCTGCATCTGTATAGCAGACCTATGCCCAGATTATGCACATTAACGTATATACATAGAACAAGCAGTAAATGTACTTTCAGGAGCCATTCACACTAAGGAGTATGAAAAAATAAAATGGCCTAGCTATTCGTCCAGCAAAACGGCTGGTTCATTCATTCTGTGCAAACGGGGCAAAATGAAATGTTCTTTTATTTCCTCTACAGGTCGAACGTTATTCATTCATAAAACAGAGTGGTTCCGAAAACACCATGATGTGATCACTAGATGGAGCTGAAGTAGTTAATGTTTATTTCTTCTGATCTTTGGCTTTATCTAATGGCCATAAAGAAATGCCGTATCAAAAAAGAAAGAAGAAATGGCGCAGGGCATACATGACTAGGCCCAGAGTGGGGAAGGAGGAACAGAAAGGGTTAAGGCAGATCCAAGGGGTTTTTTTGATAGTGGGGGTATTTGGTTGGTGGAAGGTTGAGAGTAGGTGGGGTTTCCTGCACCTTAGGGTGGGGAGTTTCAGTGAGGGGGCGTCAGTTGAGCTGGAAGTCAGGAGTGAGAGCTTCCCTCCCGCCCTCCCTGTTTTTGGTGAGTATTGGGTCCCTCCAGGTAAAGGGGGGTTATGTTGGTTCCTGGGCGGTTGTTGGTCTTTGGAGGCGGTTCTTATCTTGGAAGGTAAAAACAATGGTGTGGGACCCATCGGTGGTATGGGATGCCCGGGACATTCCCAGTTAACCAATGTTTAACTGGAAGGTGGTGGTGCTGCACTGCGGATGGTATGGTTGTCTCCGAGCTGGTTGGTTGCGGCTGGAGGCCTAGTGTATATGGTTGTCCGCAGGTGCATTTCGGATTGTTTGGGGGTGCCTTCGAAGACCAACAACAATTCTTTGGGTTTCTGTTATAAGGAATGGTTGGTGTATTTACATTTGTGTTGTTAATAAAAGGCCATGTTGGCCATTTACTCCAAAAATTGGTGTCATGTGTTTTGTAAGTATAATGGGTTAAGGGGAAAGGGGGGTTTGTACGGAACGGTCATGGTGGTAATGGGGAGTGGACAAGCCTATCTCTGGTGCAATAGTCATGTGTTATTTACTGAATCACTGTTTTATGAGTGAATAATATTCGACCTGTAAAGGACATAGAAGAAAAACATACAGTTCTGTCCAATTCGCACAGCAGGAATGTGCCAGCAATTTTGCTTTTTGTCATAATACTCCTGTTAAAGTACTATTAGACCCTCGTTTTATCCCGTTTTGGTTTGGTGTTCCTTTCTGTGTTTCTGTCCCTGTACTTGTCCTGATCAGGAAGCTAAAAGAAGATGAAGGGACTGGCAGGTTCTTCATCAGATATTTGCTGCAAGTTGTGCACATAATATTAACATTCGTCAGCCCCCCATTCACACCCTAGTGCTATTGTATGTGTTCCTGCACCAAAGCCAACATGCAACAAAACTCAGCAATAGGAATCCCGTCCTCCATACCACAGGCTGTTCACTTTGAAGCTGGAAAAGGTACATGAGCTTCTTTTGGAGATGTGTTGTGTGTTTGGCTCCATAGACTTCAACAGAGGTGCCTGTAAATGAGTGATACAAGCAATTTTGTGTTTCTGGAAGCATTTTTGCATGTGAACAGCTGTACTCTTTCTCCTCTCACGCAGAATCTTGCCTACACGTGCAGAAATTCATTTAAAATGCTTAAGCATGTGCTTAGATACACAAGAATGTGCAAAAACCCCCGCCTGTGTGAATGGAGGCTTAGGGCTTGGGTACACTTGCGGTCAGGGCAGTATAAAAAGGAGGTTGAGTTATATTTTTACGTCTCTCCGACTGCGCCTTTTAAGCTGCAAAAGCAGCCGGATGGGGTTGTACATGTGCTGTGGCCGTAGCAAAAATATATCTCTTGTTGTATTCGATGGGTAGTACTGCTGCTGAATGTGAACCATGCAAGTGAATGGGGTTGTCACAATCACATGCAATGCAAGTGGTTGCCGTACAGCGATGTGGGCTTTATAGGGTTAAAATAGGCACTAAGGTGGTGACATCACTTTCTCACTGCCTGTTAACTGCATCTAAAAAGTGATTCACCACAGATCAATTTTCAGAGGGGCGCTAAGGTCTTTCACATAGTAAAATACACACAGGGAAACAGCACATAGTTAACCTCTTGATTGTCTCACATGTTAACCCCTTCCTGCCCAGTGTCTTCATTACATTGGTGGCCAATGCAAATTCCCCATTAAATTGGTGGTTAGTATAAATTTCCCTTACACTGATGGTCAGTGTAAATGCCCCCTTACTTTGGCTGTGCTGTTACACTTGTATGAAAATATAATACAATACATAGTCATCGTTAATGTTCATATTGCTGTGAATTGAGAAGAAATACTACTACAGGGCGGCACAGGTGCACAAAATCAAGTATATATATGTACGTGATTTTGCAGTTCCAGATAGGGGGCGCGCACCCCTACCTGCGCTGCCATTCACGGCCTTGGCTGCCAATCGCCAAGTCCCAGCCGGTGATTCCCTGCTGGCACCTGGCAATCTCCGAGAATTACTGACGGGGAAGACACCTGTGTATAAAGAACACAGATCTCTCCCGTCAGCTCCTGCACACTGCTTTGTATGGATCTACCATAGCAGAGCCATACAAAGCAGTGTGCTTACAGTGGAAAGCACGCACAGCCCACATAGTAAAATGCACACAGTGAAACAGCACATAGTTAACCCTTGATTGCCTCACATGTTAACCCCTTCCTGCCAGTGTACAGTGTTTTTTTATTAGCACTGATCACTGTATTGATGTCACTGGGGATGTCAGTGACACCAAGTCAGATCCCCCCAGTGTCAGAATGCCCGCCGCAGTCCTGCTATAAGTCGTTGATCGCTGCCATTACTAGTAAAAAAAAAAATTTTTTAGCAAAGACATATAGCAGAATAAATTTCCGTCTGGCACCAACAACCATGCCACGTACAAAGTCACTTATATATCCCTTTCTTCCCCATTCTGATGCTTGGTTTGAATCTTAGCAAGTCATCTTCACCACGTCTAGTTGCCTAAATGGATTGAGTTGCTGCCATGTAATTGGCTGAATAGAAATTTGTGTCACCAAGCAATTGGACAAGTGTACCTAATAAAGTGGCCATTGAGTGTGTATGTATATATATATATAATATAAATATATATATAAAACTATTTGATGGTGTCACCCCTCTGCTGGGTGTCACCCGTGTGCTGTCCATACCTCCAGCAGCCCCATATCAATGCAAATGTAAGATTCAATGAATACACCAAAGAGGGGATCTGCTTAAGTAATAGGAGCAACAGAGATATTTCTCTTTCTTCTAGTTTTCTAAATTGATTTACTAAATCTGGAGAGTGCAAAAATCTATGAAGCTGTGTATAGAAACCAATCAGCTTACAGGTTTTATTGTCAAAGCTTAATTGAACAAGCTGATGTTAGAATCTGATTGGCTACCATGCACAGCTGCAGCAGATTTTGCACTCTTTCACTCTTTTAGTAACGCACGCACGCACGCACGCACACACACACACACACACACACCTCCTCCACTTTTCTGGGAAGTCATGCCAAAAAATGTTGGGGTGTTTTGTGGGAATTTGGGCCCTTTTAGCCAGTAGAGCTTTTGTGAGGCCAGGAACTTATGTAGTACAAGAAGACCTGGCTCACAATTGCTATTCAGTTCACGAATAAAATCACAAAGAAATATATAAGATGTTTGCTTCCTCTTCAAGTGCAATAATGAAAAACTGTTTGTTTCCTATCCACAAACTCCTTTAACCACTAGCCTACAGGGCACTTATACCCCCTTCCTGCCCAGGCCAATTTTCAGCTTTCAGCGCTGTCACACTTTGAATGACAATTGCGCGGTCATGCAACACTGTACCCATATGAAATTTTTATACTTTTTTGTGACAGATAGAGCTTTATTGTGGTGGTATTTAATCATCTCTTTTTTTTTTTCTTAAAAAACAAAAAAAAACCACTGAAAATTTTGGGGAAAAAAAAGTTTTTTCTTAGTTTTTGTTATAAAATTTTGGAAATAAGTGAATTTTCTCCTTCACTAATGAGGCTGTAGTGATGGGCACTGATAGGCTGCACTGATAAGTGACACTGATGGACACTGATGAGGAGGCACTGGTAGGTGGCACTGATGGGCATTGACAGGCATCACTGATGGACACTGAAAGGCAGCACTCATATATGGCACTGATAGTTGGCACTGATAGGCGGCACTGACTGGCACTGTTAGCTGCCACTAACTGGCACTGTTCGGCAGCACTGATAGGTGGCACTGATGCACACTGATAGGTGGCACTGATGCACACTGATAGGCGGCACTGACTGGCACTGATAGGCGGCACTGACTGGCACTGATAGGCGTGACACTGATTGGCAGCACTGATAGGTGGCACTGACTGGCACTGATGGGTGACACTAAAAGGCAGCTCAGATGGACACTGATATGTGGCATTGATGTGCACTGAAATGTGGCACTGATAGGCACTGGCAGGTGGCATGGATGAGCACTGACAGCTGACACTGATGGACACTGATAGGTGGCACTGCTGGGGCTACACAGATCATAAGCGGCACACTGATCATCAGTGCCCTGATGATCAGTGTACATGTCCCCTCCGAGGAATGCCGATTACCAGCTCTCCTCTCCTCTCGAGCTGTCAGCGTGACAGCTCGTAAGGAGAGAAATGCCAATAACCGTTTACCTGTTTACATGTGATCAGCTGTGATTGGACACAGCTGATCACATGACCGAGCCAACATCTTCGGCTCTTTCCATTAATCGGTGATCCGCTGTGTCCTTGGGACACAGCGCACCGTCGATCGCCGCGCTGCACACTCCCGGAGCCGTGCATGTGCGGTTAGAATGGGATGACGTAATATGACGTCGTCCCAGAACGAGAGAACCACCTTGCGTCCGTCATTGTACTATATGGCGGGCGGCAGGTGGTTAAGAAACATGAAAATCATTAAACATAGTTTATCATCAGCCTGCTTTTCATTTTTAGGTGCTATGATAGTTTGACTGACAATTACTTCACTATGCAATACTGAACCCAACGGAATCTTATATAGGTTTTTTGAAACAGATAAACTTATAGACAGATAGCTTACGTTTGCTGGTATTTAACCCTGAAGATTGCTTAACCCCCAAAATATGATATATTTTTCAAAAAGAAGATACTGTGCATAATAAAATAGTGGTAGTTCCAACGTATGTCATACGATTTTGTCAAGCGCAAAATTTTTGCAAAAATATACTAAAGATAATTTTAGGGCACACTAACACAATGGGGTTGAATTACTAAAGGCAAATAGACTGTGTACTTTGTGCAAAGTGCAGTTGCACTCTGCAAAGGCAGTTGCTCCAGAGCTAGTAAGTGAACAGAAGCTCTGCTGACTGCTATCCTCCAATCATGTCCAAGCAAAACTGCAGTTTTTTTTATTTTCTTTGCACATGGGTATTCTTTGCAAAGTGGAGCTTTACTGCATTTACTAAGCTCTGGAGAAACTGCACTTTGCAAAGTGCACAGTCTATATGCCTTTAGTAAATCAACCCCAATATGTCACCCACATTTTTGATAAACTATAAAAGATGAGGCTGCGCTGAGTAAATAAATACCTAACATGCCAATTGCATGCGCCCCTGAAAGGTAACAGACTTTGGTGCCCTATATCCTCTGTATGAGATGCTTTAAAATCTCCTACAGGTCACCAGTTTAGAGTTAACCATGATTAATGGGTCTAGAATGATTGCTCTCACTCCGGCATGTACTTCAATATGAAACGTATATCAAAATCAATGTTTTTGTGCATAGGCGCCCCAACTAGTGTGCTTATATTTGTACGTGTGTGTTTGTGAGGGTGAAGCTCAACATTTTTTTGGGGGGGTTTAAATGATTGGGACCAACTTAATTTTTTTGTAGACTTTTTTTCACTAAAAGTTATTATTTATCACATAGAAGACTAGAAATCCTCTATGTGATATGATTTGTGGGGACAGACTCTATTTTAAAACACATCATGCATCTTTTAGACCCCTGATGTCTCAGCTGCCCTCCATTGAAACCAATGGAGCATAGTGGCTTGAAAAAGTGACAGCAGAATCTGGAAGTGATGCAAATCCTCTATGTGATATGATTTGCGGGGACAGGCTCTGTTTTATTAGACATCATGCATCTTTTAGACCCCTGATGTCTCAGCTGCCCTCCACTGAAACCAATGGAGCATAGTGGCTTGGAAAAGTGACAGCAGAACCTGGAAGTGATGCAAATCCTCTATGTGATAATTGATTTGCGGGGACAGTCTCTCTATTTTATAAGACATCATGAATCTTTTAGACCCCTGATGTCTCAGCTGCCCTCCACTGAAACCAATTGAGCAGCAGAACCTAGTGGCTTGGAAAACCCCTGTGACAGCAGAACCTGGAAGTGTTTACAAATCCTCTATGTGATATGATTTGCGGGGACAGGCTCTATTTTATAAGACATCATGCATCTTTTAGACCCCTGATGTCTCAGCTGCCCTCCATTGAAACCAATGGAGCATAGTGGATTGGGAAAGTGACATCAGAACCTGGAGGTGATGCAATACATGTCACACATGTACATACATTCTGGGTTCTCCCTCCTCTCTACTTGGTGGCATCCACCACGCTGGTCCCTCTAATTGGAGTACAGAGCCCAGAGAACATGAGCAAGGAAAGTGCAGAGCCCGGGAGTAAGGAAAGGTGTCTGTGTGGAAGCGATACGGCAGCTGTCAAGCCCCCCCATTGGACACCCGAAAGATGGATTGAATGGAGTGAGTGCAAACAAATGTGGTTGGTGGTATGACTGGTAAAGGGGGGGGGGCAGGCATAGGGGGAGTAAATGAAGGGGTGTACAGATGGAGAGAGTTCTGAAGAAGGTGGATATAGGTACGGAGGGTGGTGGGGGGGGTAGAGTGTGCGGGTGTGGGTGTGGCAATAAAAGGGTGTAGGAGTGGGGGGTGGTGAGGGAGGGCCAGCTAGATGTGAGGTTGCCGGTGCAGTGGGGAGATAATGTGGAGGTGGATAATGTTGAGGGAAATTGGGGGCACTTCCTGCAAGAGTGGGTTAAAGCAGGGGCATGGAAGTGTAGAGTGAGAGCGGGAGGGAAATGTGCATGCATGGAGGGTGGTGAGGAGGGCCCAAGTACAGTGGCTGGTGAAGAAAGGAGGGACACAGGCATGGAGAAGGATGAATGAAGGTGGTGGCAAAGTAGGGTAGGCAAGGTGGGTTTTGAGGGAAGGGGGTGCAAATGTTGGTGGTTATAGAAGGTCAGGTCATGGCATCAGTGGTGTATTTAGGTTTCGTGCTGCCCTAGGCAACACTAAAATTGGCTCCCCCCCACCCCACGGAGAGACCCTGACACTAACAAACACCCCCCTCCCCCACGATAACAGCCTGACATTGACCAACAGCACCCCCCCACCCGAGAGAGCCTTCCACTACCACCGCCCCATACACACTGGCAACTCCCCCCCCCCCCACCCTCACGAGAGAGAAGACACTCACCTTCACAGCTCCGGCCATCCCCGGGAACAAGAGTCAGGCTCTGCATACAGAATCAAGCAGCCTGCAGACTCTCTCAGATCCCACCTGGTCCCCATTTTGTGTGTGTCCTTTCTTCCATCCCTTCTTTTGGGGGACGGTTCCCCTGAAAAATGCCGCTGCCCCCCCTGAAAAAATGCCGCCCTAGGCAAATGCCTTGTTTGCCTTTTGGTAAATACGCCACTGCATGGCATGGAGCTTGAAGTGCGGGAAGTTTGCAGCCCATTGTATACATGTATTGCTCACTATAATTCTAACATGGATATTTTCAATTTACTCTTTCACCACAAAGGAAGTCTCCAGGTGACCCGTGGTATCAAAGGTAAATACTCTGGTACGGTGTTGACTTAGCTTGTCACTTAGACACTTTTACCTTCTAATCATCAAGCAATGTATCATGGAAGCTCACATAAAGTCATCTACTGCCCCTTTCATTGTGACTCTCAGCTGAGGTCTAATATGATGACGAAGAAATTGGCTTAGAAAGTGTTTCGAATAAGTAAGTCAAACAAATTTTATTAGGATTAATTATAGCATGGGGCGACCTGCTCTGGTGTAAATGACACAGTCATGGGGTCTTTTTAACAGCTAAAGTGGGTCAGGGTATTGGGTCACGAAAAGTATACAATATTATCTTTATGTCTAACAAATGAGTGTCATATGTGACCAAGGGAACATTGATCAGTATCAGTCCCTCTGATCGCCAGTACCATCTGACTGTATCACAGGATCTGTCCCATTGTCTTGGGATCAAATACTGAGCCCTACTGGCCTATAATAACATTATTACTGCTTTTGCACATTGCATACAAGTTAAATATATATCTAAATTCTAAACATTTGATTTTGGATACAGTAGGACATTTTTTGCTGTGTGTGTCGAGTTGGGGAGTTTTACTTTCACTTCCTATCCCTAAGACACAATAGGAACTTGTCTCTTCTCAAAGGAGAATAATTCAGTTCAATCATCCCCCTGCATCCCTTTAAGTGGGTCTATATGCCTTAAGGGAGGAGCAGACTTCCTGATCATGTGACAACTGTGGTTGGCTGTCACAGCGGTCACATTACCGCAAGCCTGTCCCATTGGCTCCCAATCCTAATGTATGACCGAGAGCTACCTATGACCGCTCAGTCACCATGTTGGGAGAGCTCAGTAAGTGCAGTCTTAGCACAGAAACCGTGGCCGTTGATGGGCACACATGAAACCCACCCTCTTTACCAACGCACATGCATCAAGTAGGTGTTGAGGGGTTATTCTTTACTCAAAGTCAGTATTTACGCAGGCTTTAGCACGTCTGGAGGAAAAGAAATTTAATCTCCAAACACGGAAAGGTTTCTTCACAGTGAGAGCTGTGAAAATGTGGAATAGACTCCCTCAAGAGTTGGTTCTGCCCTGCTCAGTGGATTGCTTCAAAAAAGGCCTGGATTCTTTCCTAGATACACAGAATATAACTGGATACTAACATTTATAGGTAAAGTTGATCCAGGGAACATCCGATTGCCTCTTGAGGGATCAGGAAGGAATTTTTTTTTTTCAGCAGGAGCAAATTGGATTGTGCTTTGCTGGGTTTTTTTGCCTTCCTCTGGATCAACTGTGGGTGTAGGATTATAACTTTTTTTTTTTTTTCTATGGTTGAACTGGATGGACTTTTGTCTTTTTTCAGCCAGACTAACTATGTAACTATGTCTCCCAAGTACTCATTGGGTTAGTACTCAAATTGCATCTAAAGCCAAGACTTTTATTTTTAGTGTGGGATAGAGTGGTGAGGGGTTAGAGCCCCTCTCAGGTTTTTATTTCCGTCTGTGTCCCTATTAGGGATAGTCACTCTTTGTACTAGTGACCACCATCACCAGGAATAAAAGTTAGGTAGAAACCAAAATTTGGAGTTTTCATCAAAATAGTAATAATGGGGAACTCTTTCAAATAGAACACTTCCTCCAGTGACAGCTCATTTGCAAATGTTGTGCAACTAAATCCTTTGTTTTTAATGCAAGTTTGTTGACAGTATAATATCTTTTTTGTATTTTTACTAGCTGGTTAGTGTGTCCGGGAATACATCTTGCTTTGTGCACTTTGTGCAAAGCCCTTCCATGTACTCCACACTTCAAAAGTTAGTTATAAATTGGGGTGGTTGCCATTTTTGTTTAGCTTGCTGGAATTGGCACAGGAACACATTGGACTCCTATAGCCACCATTGTGCTGTATTGGCCTTCTGGTGTGTCCCTGCTTCTTAAATCTCATTGCTG